GGTGTGCGAAAAATTTTACACGTTGTAAAATGATTTGTCTGATCTACAATTTGTACAAAAAGTATTTCATGTTGTAAATGTTAGACATTTTTTTGAAGGATTTCTACAACGACACTCAGTAGTGAGTACCCCATAAAAAATATTGGAGCGATTGTTTCCAAGGTGCGACACGGTCTAGAGGTGGGACATAGAATCATTGACCATAAAGATTCATTCGTTCTTATTTTGGTTGACAGTAGAGTTATCGAAAACATTTGTGTAAGATAAGTCTGATTTTTAAAATATAATTCGAGAATTTTATCAACTCGAGATCTCATCGGATTCCAAGACCCTGATCAACCTCATCAAATCGAACAATTAGAGATCCACTCAATCCTACAAGATATCTACAACCTCTCTAGAACCCGAAGATCTGAGACTTTTCAATTTGTTCCTCGAAATCAAAACAAACAAGCGGATGAAATCGCAAAACAGGTTTTGTATTCATATTCGGTTAACACCGGTCTGCATGTAACCGAGATTTAATGAGAATTTTCACCCTTTTGACCAAAAAAAATCTATACATTGAACAATATACGTGATTAATGAAATCAAAGAGCCTCAAAAAGGGGCGTCAAGTTATACTAAAAATATTTTCTATTGAATATCACATATCAAATATTTTCTTGTATGCTTTAAGTTCGGACTCTTTGGAATCGAGTTCCCGAATGCAAGTAATGTTTTGTTCAAAAAAAACAAAAAAAAAGAGAGACCGTTTTAAATTTAGAAAAAACTTTTTTTTGTCAAAAAAAGTAATGGACTCGGAGTTTTAATGTAAAAAAAAAAGTGATCAGCAGAATTCCAGTTGTTGAATTATATAAAACAAATTTTTTGAATACCAAATCCGATGGATAGATTAATGATTTTTTGTTTTTTGGGTAAAAGTCCCTTCAAAATATCGAGCATTCTAAAAAAAGAGAGGCAAAACTGTTGAAATTAAACAAACGCACCATGATTAAAAAAAAAAAAGTACACAATAGCAAATAACGTAATGCATAAGTTCTTGAAAATCTAAACTACCATTTTTATTTTTCATTTTTCCATGATTGTACAAGTCGCTTTCATACGAAATTAATAGCTAACAAATATTCTAAGAAGCCATTACGGACTTAAATTTTGGACACTGATAAAATCTAGTAGATGTTTGTTGAAGAGCTGATCAGAGGGGACTAGTTGTGTTTTGATAAACTTCTATGCATTTATAAAACTCCATGTGAATATTTCTTTTTATATCTTAGCACA